GTAGCCCAAAATGCACGAAGCAACGATTTACTCATCTTAGGAGAAAACGTAAGAGCTTTGAAAAGAGGGCACTTACGAAGAAATTCRATRATGATGAAGAAATMCGGATATTTGTTGTTGTGATCCAACAATGCCACAAAGTTGCATGGAGAAAAAGTAACATCATCAGCAGTAAGAGATTTCTTAACCCTTGAAGCCTTGGAGGGTGTCCCAACTTTAGAAGCCATGGGAGAAGGAAGCTTGAAAATCACACAGTAAAATTTTTAGAGAAGAAAGGTGGAGGTTTGGTAAAGAGATGAGAGATTGATATGGGGTAGAAAAGATGAGAGTTGGGGGTTTTAAATAAAAAAAAAAAAGGAAATATATGGTGGGTAAAAGGAGGGGTTGTATGGGGAAGGTAAAAAGGTAAAGGAAAGGTGTAAGAAATAGGGGTGTGAGTCTTAGGTGGGGATGGGGTGTAAGAGATGGGATGGGGTAAGGGGTATTAGGTGAAGGAAATGGGTTTGAGAAAAAATCGTTGGGGAAGAGGAGACAAGAAAAAGGAGATGGGGGGAGGGGGTAGTGGGAAAATGGTTTAAGAAGAAAACGGTGTGTGTGTATAGAGGGAGAGAAAGGCCGAAGGGAGGGGGGTGTGGGGGGGCCGATCTTGAGGTATAGGATCGGTGTGCGGTGTGGGGTGTGGGATGGGAGGGTAGGATCGGCTTTGGGAAGGTTATAAAGAAGGATCGGCGAGGAGAGGGAAGAGTCGGCTTATAGGGAGAGGAGGGAGAAATCGATTCGGTTGAAGGGTGAGGTCGGTTTGGGGAAATAAAAGGAGAAGCCGAAGGTGGGTGGTGGTCGGCGTGGAAGAGGGAGCCGAGTGGAGAGGTGAGGGTGTGAGTGTTCGTGGTGAGAGGAGACGAAAGAGAGAGAACCGAAGAAGAGAGGGGGGCGGTTTGAGAGAGAGATGGGAGGCCGAAAGTGTGACTAGTGTGGTGGAGAGAGAGGGGATCGGTGTGTGAGAAAATGAGGAAGAGAAAGATATATTTATAGAGAGGGAGAGGGGTCTAGGGTTTTTAGAAAATAGAGAGGGTGTGGGCCGAAAGTTACGGGCCGAAGGGTGTTGGGCCGAATGGGGGAGAAAGGGGAATTCGGTTTGAGGGGTGAGGCATATTGAGAAGAAGAGTTGGCTTGAATG